TCTCCCGCGATGTTTCATTATCTGTCATGTTTTTCCTTCTAAAGCAGGTCGCAACTTTGGTGGTCAAAGTGCAAAGGTTCAGCATTTCGAATGATCAATGATTTCGAGACCCACATTACACTTTTTTGGTTTCCTGCATTCCATGGCCCATTTGTAAATCAACTCAGTAATGACTTCAAGTCGGAAAACGGAACAAAAATGCATTTTAATGTCTTCAATTAAAGAACGATTTGTAACATTTATTACTTCATTTCCATGACGTTTTATTCAATTATTTGCATTTTGTCAATTCATCTTTGGCAGAAAAATCTCACGACACACTGACCTCTTATTAAATTATAATGTAACTTGAACTTGAGACTATTTACTCAATATTTGGTGCATATTGTAATTTGTTTGTATGTAAATGTTTTGTACAGACGTATAACCTCCTCCTTTTTTTAAATCTATTAAGTGCATTGCTATTTGAGTTTTTTATGCACACAATAAAAAAAAATTCAGCTCAGTTTCTATTTTCTAACATTTCTACATCAAAGATCTAGATGTTACTTCTAATATTGTGAATGCGAAAGTTTGGATAATATTGGTATTTTTAAAACTTATTAATCAAACTATTAAACTGTCTGTCTTTCGATGACGCAAGTACTTAGTATGATATTATGTTTGTATTAAATTTAACATGTCATGTTAACTTGGTTTGGAAACATGAGTCCATTTAATTTACATATGTTTGTTATTATAAATGATTTTACTTTTATTTTAGGCGAATCATTCTTAGAATAATAACGATATTGTATGAAGTTATGTTAATAAATAAATAATGCTTTAGTTAAATAACGATAGTGCAGTTTTTAGATATTTGGTAATTTTCTATTTAAAACTATTATTTACATTTTATCGGAATATATATTCCTTTTAATTATTAATTCTAAACATTCATACAGATTTAAATACTGACGGAACATAATCTAGGAATGTTATTTTTAAACTATTTTGGTGAATTATAATACGACTGGATTTTAAGGAGGTTGCTTTCGAGTTTGGGAAACAATTATAATAAAAATAATTAACTCCAGCATAAAAAATATCAGATTGGTATATCAGTTTGCTTGTAAATAATAGAATATTACGCACTGCGACTGTGCACTATAATCATACAGTTGAGGTCTATTGTGCCCTCACAAAGTCAGTATTCGCAATAATGCCGCAGACACGTTGTATCTAATAACCCATTCACATAATTAAAACTTAAAGTTGCGAAACATGTCAATGTAAGACAAAGGCAAAAACGACAGTTAGTTATGTTGCATTTGCAATTTGAAAATCGGAATTTAAAATCATTACAAAATCCAATGTAGCCAACATAAGAGTAATATTCAGTGAAAGAAGTAAAAGCGATCGATTTTGAAGAACAGAATTTTGAAAAAAAGAACATCATTCTTTCTTTTTTCCAATTCCAGAATTTCTTTCCCCTTTCCATCTACTACTACATGTAACTATTTCTCATCTTCCTTTCTCTACCTTGCTAAACACCAAGAGTTCCACTTGTTTGCTTGGAATCTTTCAAGATTCCCATTATCGATGTCATCTTGATTTTGAAGTTATCTACAGAAATGTCATCCAGGCAGGCTTCGTAACTCCTTCCCCATAGATCACAATGGTAGAGCACGCAATAAAATCTTTTGTACGAATGAACCTGCTCGTTTAACTCATTACAGTAACAACACAGAACAAAAGTCGAGCGTCATTCTCAAATTATGACGGTCTTATCAATTGATAGTAATCTTCACTTGTGTTGAAAAACAATGTGATAAATTATCTTTGAATATTATCTCACGTATTGTTAATAAAAATATAATCAGTAATTGGCTTTCTTCATTTAATAAATTATCGTAATTATTACTTTATAATTAAACGAAAAGCCTTTTTATTTAAACCTTTTAAAAGTAGTCAATGCTGAATCTCGAATGTATGTTTTTTAAGCAATTTTAAAATAGTACTGCAAAAACAGAAAAATAGGGGAAACCCACTTAATTACCGGAATGTATCTAAATTGCCAAAAATGTATTATTAAGTGCTAAGAAATATTTCCTTGAATATATTCAAGATTCAAGAATTTCGGTTTTCCCAATATATTACTGGTTTGGAAAGATCAATGTCAACCTTATTCGTGTCGTGCTGTGTTTACATCTCTGTTCCTGTTCATATTATGTTTTCTTTTTACATATTTCTAACCAATCTTACGGCAAGAAAAACTTACCCTCATGTTAGTTGTGTTTGACCAATGAGAGAGCTGCAACTGCATTTAGAAATGCGATTTCGAAAAAACAGCATATTTTTTTGTTTGCAACATCAGACAATTTCGAAAGAAGTTGGTAATTTTTTGCTTACTGGTAACTCTAAAATTTACGCGCGCCCCTGGAATATCAAAAAAGTGCCATGAGATCCTTGTAGCTCTATAGCACACGCCGTTGCTGGGGGCCAAGGTTTGGTAAACCAATTAACGAGTATGACGTAGACTAAACGTAATCTGACCCTGTCAATGTTAAAAATGTCACCATTCTTGTCGAACTTAGCTGTGTTATATCTTGCCCCGTGAGTGATACTCCTAGGCCGAGTATTACACCAAGGTCAAGGTCCTTCTAAGCCTCAAATGTATTGCTCGCCTTTTTAGCAAAATTAATTACAATATCGACTTTGACACAATTTCCTAGTAGATGATGCTTATAACCGTGTATTTAAGGCGTGTATAAAATGGACATGCTTTCTTCGACTAAATTGTACCTTGTTGCTTGGTCTTAGGGTTCAAAATAGAAAGTTCTTATTTTATCAGACTTATTTCGTGGGTCACGTAATTTTTTATTGATGTTACATAAAACCCTAATGGCCTTAACCTAAGGGTTTGTAGTGAATCTTTTATGGACCGCATCTATAAACATTGTTTGGACGGAATATGTTTTGAATTTAAAATAATTAAAAACACTATTTCGATCTTGGCTGAATGTACAGGTTGTTTAAAAAAACAGTTGCAACTGAAGGCTATAAGTTCAACGACCATAATATGGCGATTAAAACAAAATCACGGCAATACTAATAATATAGCTGGTTAATTTAGCATTCAGAAATATTAAACATTTTATAAAATGTATCTTTAAGTCAAAAATTAGTTCTTACTAGCTTTTGCCTGCGACGTCGACAGTGCACAAAAGCGCAAATTAAAAAATATAGGACATAGTCTATGTTTTCTCCCAGAATATTTTCTACATTTTTGCCAAGATTCGTCACAATCCGTCAACCCGATTAGGAGATACGTAAAAACATTCCATCCATTTAAACTTTTGCTTTTATAATATTAGTATAATTAATATGAAGGATTTTACTAGAAATTGACTTTTCTTTAATATAAGCAATAATGGTAATCTTTCTACGACAATCGAATTAGTAGAGTTACGCCCCTTTAGAATAGCGTCATCAAAATCGGCAAGCGTTCGCTAGTGTGAGTTACGCAACCTGACCGCCAGATGCCGCTGCCAAGTTCAATGTTACGACCTTTTGGCCCAATGTTTGCTCAAACACTTCACCAATGTTTGCACTTTACCAATATCTTTATTTAACGTATAAGAATAGTTTTTTTCTATCTAATTTGTGGTTATCTGAATAATATTATAAATGCGAAAGTTTAGATTCATGAATGTATGTTAGAGTTTACAGAATAAACGGCTAAACAGATCTCGAATTTTTATTTAATACCTCGCAGACGGATTTTCGGACAGCTAATATATGCATTTTCAATAACCAATCGATGTATATCGAAGTAAGAACTTATGTAACCACAAATACGAATATAAATATAATCTATGGATACGTCAATTTACAATAAAATGAGATTTTCTCATGACAGCTGTAAAATTTGTAAATAAAACCGATTGAGACGTTATTTATTACGAATAGTCAGTCCCGAGACCGGTATTGTGAATATTATGGGACATTCTGCGATCTGGTTTGCCGTAAGCATATGAAGTGTACAGGTTTTATTGAAAATAGTAATAGGAATATATTAGTGGCATTCTTTAGGCACAATGTCCTTGATCGTGGAGAATTTGCGCGTTGTCGCGAAAATTCTGACGCGTTACGTGCTAATGATACAAGATGTTTAGGTTGCTGGGTCCTTTAAGCAATAAATAACTACTACGGCTACTTGGCTAGTCGTTATTTTATTAAACATCTTAGTTTAAGTCGAAGAAGACAAGGGTTTTTACAATTACTATCACGAATGACAATTGCGAGAATCTATTAGTATAACCATCAACGAAATATAAGATTTGATGATATGTTTCACACAAATTCGATACTTTTTCGATGGTATTAGAAATACGTTCTCACGAATATTGGTGATGAGGACTAACTTTTTGAACATCCGAATGCTTCGTATTTCTTCGTAAACATATTCATGCAATCTCGGATTTTATTCTTGTGGATGAGAATTTAAAAACATAGACTTTATTTTTATTACCTTTACAAATTAAACTTTTCACAATAAATCATTTCTCAATAGAGTAAAGTTTAATCTTTTTAACATTCTGTATAAACTGATATGTTAAATCGTGATGTAATACGTTTTTTATTCGTTACAAAAATAAATTTGTAAGCAATAAAATTATTGTATGATACAATTAAAACAGATTAAAAGCCTAACAATATGCAAATTCTTATTTTTTAAGTAGACCGAAATAGTTAAAATTTTAACTGAAATGTTATACACATTCATTTACTGTGGTTTAATACAATTTGTGAACGAAGATTCAAGTGTATTCAAATAAATTATTGCCTTTTATTAAATTTTTACATTTATGAGTTAAAAATGTGAAGAAGTCCATTAAAATTTGAAAGCATTCTTAGAAAGAAATTACAAAAGAATGTGCCAAGGTTGGAATATGTTAATTTACTAATAATGAGATAATTGCACAATTTGTTCCGATTATCATTCATTTATAAATGTTGCATAGATGTCGTCCATTAAACGAAAACTAGAAATTAATTAGCATAATAATGCATTTAAATAAAAAGGGAAAGCAGAATCAAAATTGACACAAGACTAAGTTAAACAAACAAGTCGGCCAGTGCCATCCGAAGGCTGCCTTTTGCAATAGACTAATTTAATTTTATATACAAATATATTCATGAATGCCAGTATGCAAGTGTGACTTATCGGAGAAAGATTACTCTGTGCTGTGTGTTAGTGTTTCCTAGTGGAAAGGAGAGTTATTCTGATTTTAAGAGGTTAGTGTTATTCATCTTACGAAACGTACAAACTGCATTTAAAATTCTTAACGAATTCTTTTCGAATGTTCCTTAATACTTGAGAATTGTGGTTTTACAAGCTTATCAAAATATTTCCATAATGTACAAAAATAGTATAAAATAACGGGCAAAAACATCGTTTTCGGTCTGGTAGATACGCAAAAAAGTACAGAAGTTTATTTACGTGACTCTTACGATTATTAAAAAAAGATGTATTATCCATATGTATGAAAATACGTATGATGTTGGGACAATACTAGTATAAGTATCCAACTTAGGTGTGTCTAAAGATTACCTAAGCGTTTTCAATACCAATTTTATAAGAAAGAATTTTTTTATCAATATAAAACATTGGTTTGTAATATTTCTACTGATTTAAATGTTTCTTTTAATTTAACATAACCTTGTTTGTTGCAGGTGCAAGTTCTTCATACAATATGTCATTCGTTGACTCTTACAAGAGGTTTATGGAGAGGAACAGTGGTAAGAAATATTTTTTTATTTGTTTTTAATGCGAACTTTACGTAAATACATTGTGGTTTAATTTTTAAAAAAACACTGCAATATGTAAATGTAATAAGACTAGCTTTCGCCCGCAACTCCACCATCGTGGATTAAAAAAAAAACTAAAGTGGGCCTATGAGTTCTTCCAGATTATCCTCTACATCTATACCAAGTTTCAGCGAAATCTGTTAAAATGTTTAGGCTACAAACTCTAACAAACATCCATCCATCTAAACTTTGGCATTTATAATATTAGTATTAGTATGGTTTAATTATTGTTTAAGAGGATATATTCAAATAAGGATTAGATCCTAAAAAAATGATTAATGCATTGTAATTTAAATATTTTGAACATGTTTTGATTTACATTTAACTAAAAAGGGATGATATTAGTATGAATATCGTATTATAACAGAAAACATCGATATTAGTATAAATGATCGTTTAATTTTTTTACAAATAAAAATACAGTATTGCCACTAAGTAACTCAAAGCACCCATTTGCAAAGAAGATAAAAATCCACAGAGTAGCTCTACCGGTCGATACAAGTTATTTAAATGTCAAAACAACGTTTCAGAAACATTGTTATTTTTAACCTCAGCGATACAGTAACATTATTATTTTAAATCACGTAAAACAGGTTATATTTTTAATAGCCATATTAAAACGAACAATTCATTTTGTAACTTTTAATGGATGAAAATGTATGAATACAGCATACGATTGTAAATTACTGTATTTGATTCAATTTTTTAGTTATGTAAATAGAGTAACAAATGTCAGGCACCAAAGGTAAGGGGGGGAGTCAGCTGCTCCTACTAGAATCGAAAAACTTAAAATATATACAAAAAATACCTCGAATTCATCCAGATAATTAAATCTTCAAGTTTCGATGACAAAAGTAAGTCGAGAAACAATGTCAAACATAAAACGACATCTCTCTTCTGAAAAAAAAAACATAATTTTTACGGTTGTAATAGAAAAGCCGCAGTTTATTAATCTTTCTGGATTATAGATTAAACGTTTTATTGTATCGTGAAGAAATTTAGTATTTAATTTCGTCACAGATCCGGTGCAGTCATTTCTCAGTTGGCCAACTTCTTTTGTCGTAATATTGCATGACGATTTCTGCATCGCCAACCTCCATATAACATGAAAGGTCGCATTTCAATCTTGTTTTCGATAATTTTGAAGTTATTTAGCTACGTTGTTAAAAACCTTAAACGAATTTAATTCGAATCGAGCTGTTTGTATACTTTCTATGTATAACAACTAATACAATGTTCATTATGTGAATCTTACTAATATTATAAATGCGAAACTTTAGACGGATGAATGGATGTTTGTTAGCGTTTGTAGCCTAAACGGCTGAACAGATCTCCATGAAATTTGGTACGGGTTTAGAGCATAGTCTGGAAGAACACATAGGCTACTTTTTATCCCGGGAATAGTTACGGTTCCCGTGGGATTCATTAATTATTTTTTTAATGTTCACTCGATCATTCTGCAACAGTTCAACATATTTTATTGGAATTAGGCACAGATATAAAACAAAGTCTGGAGTATACATGGGATAAGCTTCATCCCAGAGAAATGTCCGGTTCCCGAGGGATGCGTAGCTTTTTGTAATTTATATAGTTCGTGTGTTTTCTAATACCACGCGGACGAAGTCGCGGGCAACAGCTCGTTATCTATAAACATGCAAACTAAGAACGTAAATCTATACTAATATAGTAAAGAGTACAGATTGTATTGTTTATTTGTTATTAAAAAATGTTTCACCACTAGAAACATTATTACTAAATAACATAAACTATGGTTTACATCAACGGGAAGGATATAGATTTAACAGATATTATATGATACGTACATTATTTGCCATCCAGGCGAAACTGGGGAGCATTGCTAGTCTTTTTTAAGCACAAGCCAAAGGGAAGCACATCTCAGCTGATGTCCATTCTTACCCACGTACTGGGCATAATATTAGCTTGATAATAAAATGATTGGATATAAACAAACTAATAAATTCAACATACTGCGACGAATTTTATTATTATTTATAAGCGAGTTATCACAACACCTGATGTAAATATTTACGACATTATAATAATGTGATTCGTTGTCCAGATAAAGACGATATACACGAACAGCTTAAAAAAATCAGGCGTTGAACGGTCAGAAGTTGAGTTGGCATACAGAGACCTTAATAATAGTTACAGTTTTCAGTTGCGACTAAAATGTTGACAAAACGCATTATTTGAAGCAGTCCGTGTATCCCCTTACGGTCTTGAATCGTCTAACGTAATAGATTAAATACTTTTATAATTTCAAATTTATATGCGATGCGTTAACTCAGGGCATTTGCTATCAACGTGACCTGATCAATGTATAGGAAAATTATCTTTGTGGTAGGTCTTATAAGTGTGTTTTCAAACACCGATTGTTTTGATTTTCGGTTTCCGTATATTTTGGACTTACTCTAAAACTATATTACGCATTACGTAAAATTACTTTAGGTTTTGTTTCATTTGAGAATTATATTTCAGTTGTTGTCTAAATGAAAATAGAAAAATATGTGCATCAATATTTTTAATGAGAAAAACCCGCGAAAAATCTGACTCTCCTTAAATAACCCTACGATTTTTCTTATCCTCGTTATTTGTTTACACTTTGTTGTCAAGAATAACTATTATGTGTTAGAATATAGCACGTGCGATGTTAGTCATTGCATCAGTTGGCGGCGGGGGATAGGAGGAAGGGGAGGGGGCTTCATAGTAAGTCAAGCGAAGTACGCTCGCAGCTGTATGGAAATGACATGCTAAACAAACAAATTTATTTTATATTCACCGCATGCTTTTGATGCCTTTGTAGTAAATGGATAAATATTTGTAAAATATTTATAACTACTCTTATATTGTTTCCATTGGTATTGTTTGAGGTAAAGGTCTATGAGACTGGTTTTTAGCGTAAGCGAATACACTAGTTAGTAAAATGAAACGGTTTGTTATTGTTTGCTTCCATCTTTAAATGGAAAAATGAATTAATAGAGAAGAATTTCGTTATTGATTTACTTTGTAATAATTATTTAACAATTGAATATTAATGAAATCCGAATAAAGTACGAGTATAGCAAGTAAAAAAATTAATGGTGCTTTATTACAACAATGGGTAAAAGTATTGTTTAGAAATAACTTAGTTTTGTCCTATTGCAAGAATATAATTAACCCGTAAGTAAATGTAAAGTGTACATGTTAGTTTTTAACATAATTTAACATTTTCAAATTCTCTTCACCCACAAACAAATATCCGAGCTTAACATTGTTTTTATATGTTGTAATTTTTTTACGGTCAGAAATTCGTTTAACCGTTTTAATTTAAAAGGAAACATCTTTTTTATTTTTATGTCAAAATCATTTTTGTAAAATTCATTACAAAAACTGGCGAAAGATCGTCTTGTGTTTATGCATTTGCAAATAAACCGATATTTCGAAAACGTCTCGTAATTGTTTGTTATTCCCTCAGATCCTCGGACGGAGAACTGGTGGTTGATGTCAGGTCCTGGACCCCTGCTGACCCTGCTGGCCACATACCTGTACTTCTGTACGTCAGTGGGTCCTCGCTACATGAGAGATAGGAAACCATTTTCCTTGAAGCAACCCATCATCGTCTACAATATTACGCAAATATTCATGAGCATCTTCTTAGTTTATGAGGTAAATATATCTTTATGGGAACGGACTTTCTTGTGACATTTAAAATTTTACGATATATTATATTTTAGACCAGGATTTTTTTATCACAATTATGTATCTAAAGTATAAGGAATTCACCAAAATAGAGTAGCGATTACAGGCTGGATTCAGATTTGCAACAGATCTGGCAACACATTGATCGAGGTTATTTTTCCAACCTATGCGTCCCATCCCCCGTGAAATCCACTTCCCAAACTTTCGTAAAGAGAATGGTGGAAAGAGATGACTAAAATTAGGCCTCCGACACACAGTTATTAGACGAAACCCGGAATGATAACTTTACATGGAATTTTAAGAGTTACTCATTATTTAAGGATTACCTTTACGGTACAAATATTTAATAAAAAATATGCACAACAATATATAAGATTATTATCCACAAACATCATTACTGGTGATGACTTACAAGATCTTTTATTCAAATTGTAGTTTTCATTTAGAGATATTCCAATTTTATTAAACTTTTTTGCATACAAGTCAATAAAACTTAAATCGGTTTAAGAAACACCAAATTAGGTATCGGATCACTTAAGCAAATATCTAAGTGTGACTTGTAATTCAACATTGTAAGAATTAATTAACATTAGTAAAGATTAATCGTATTATATTTTTTCCGTTTTCTTTGCGTTCTCGAACATTTCTCAATTACCTCTTCAAATAACGAGCATTCTCCCTTTTCGACGTATTTTTTCAGATTAAAAAAAGTTTTCTGATAACACTAAAAATTAAAAACTTTTAAAACAAGCTCTTAAATTTGATTTTAAATTGAAAACCAATGTGTTTTAATTCAAATTATAATAGATCGGGTTTGATTTTTACGAGGAAACAAAATCATTGATTGTTTCTTAAATATTCGAATAACCAGTCTTAAGAATTGTTGATATTTTAATATCGGAATAATAGTAATCGGTAGTGTGATATACTAAAATTGTGTAAACACTTTCAAATCATGTATTTAATAGATAAAAAAATATTTGAAGCTCTATAATATTGTAGAACCGGATAAAGTCTATGATTGTTTGCCGTGTAAAGATGATGTCAAGAATCCGTGTCTTGACGTTTTAGACTTAGCTAAAAGACATGGTAAATAGATGATTATGAATATATGAGTAAATAACACTACAAAGTTGAAGTAGAAAATATTCACTAGTTTTGTCTTAATAAGTTGTTTTTGCCATTATTGCATTAGCAAAATTGTGTCCAATTTTATAATTAATTTTGTTTCTCACAGGGCTTAGTCTCCGGCTGGTGGAATGACTATAACTTTAGCTGCCAACCTGTGGATTACTCCTATGACCCTAAGGCATTCAGAGTAAGTATGAAAAGTATTGAAAATTTACAACTTATAGTTTTAATAATGATCAAAGAGTTGTCTGCAATTTCATACATTGTCTGCAAGTGCAGTAATACTTGTGACATAAGTGCTAATTTCAAGCATCTGAAATTATTAGTCGTAAAATAAAATAGTTTCCTCTATAGTGAAGTGCTGTGTGATACAGTGCATACTAATTCTTTAAATATTGAGTCCAAATATTTGCACATATTCTTTTCATAATCCGGTTTTTTCTTTCATTATCTAGATGGCGGGAGCGGTTTGGTGGTATTTCGCTGCGAAGATCATCGAACTCTTGGACACGGTATTTTTCGTTCTTAGGAAAAAGAACAGACAAATATCATTCCTGCATCTTTACCATCACACCATGATGCCAATTTGCGCTTGGATCGGAGTTAAATTCCTTCCAGGTGAATTATTAATATGACATTTTTATTCTTGTACATTTTTTGCTCTAAATTCAAATTAATGCTTAATAAATGATTTTGTGTTTTTTTGTTAGGATTATTTGTAAAGTTACTTATGCAATTATGTTGCAGGAGGTCATGGAACTCTGCTGGGTGTCATCAACTCCTTCATCCACGTGATCATGTACACGTACTACCTGATCTCAGGACTCGGGCCTCAGTACCAGAAGTACCTCTGGTGGAAGAAACACCTCACCAGCCTGCAACTGGTAAACAATTTCTCATTTGTTATACAAAGTTTGCTTAAAAAGCTATGAGAAATATTTGTAAACAATAATTTTAAGACTGAACTTACTATTTTTATGAACCTCCTGCTGCTACATTCCTTCTCCAGTTTTTTAATCCTAAAATGTTGGAAATGTCCGCTTTTGTCGGATCCTCCATTCGATCACTTGGGAATTTGCTCTACTTTACTTCTTAATATTGAATACAATTTATATACATTAAATTTTGATTTTGTTTAGGTTCAGTTTGTGATCGTGTTCTATCATAACTTCGTGGTGATGTTCTGCGACTGCAACTACCCTAAGTCTATCAACTTCTTACTGGCGCTCAACGCCGGCCTCTTCCTGTACATGTTCGGTAACTTCTACTACAGAAGCTACGTCAACATCGACAACAAGAAGACTGACTCAGTCACCACAGAAGCGAAGAGTAACGGTGTCATCGCAAACGGCAAAGGCGTTGTCGCAAACGGCAATGGCGTGATCGCAAACGGCAATGGTTTTATCGCAAATGGCAATGGCGTCATTGCAAACGGCAAGACGAAAGAATGCTAGCGAATAATAATGCTCATTAATTTAAGTAATTGTATGTGATGTTATGTTGATAATACTTAGATTAAAATAATTTTAAAATAGTTTTTAACTCAATTGAAAATACTGGAAACAAAATGTCAACTTAATATGTATTTCCGAGATTTTCTTTGTTCTTCTCGAGCAGGTATTTCCACCGAAAATAATAAGGTATTTGGTTATAAATATTGCTATCCTCATTTACTATGAAATAAAAAACAATTCAACTTTAACTTTTAACTAAGTTTAAGTAATGTAAAATAACTTTTCTTGCAGACCTCGCCAGATGATGACAACAAGGTATCTGTGATTTTATGAATATTATGTAATTTGTTTTGTGTGTAAGAAACAAATGTGTAATTTGAAACCATTATAATAATTATTAATTTTAGTTATTTTAGATCTTGGTTACAAATGAAGGAGATAAAGGTTTTAGTATAGTTTGTTTTGTATTTTTTTAGTTAAGATGTATATTATAGGTGAATTTGTCAATATAGTGCAATTAAAAATATTTCGCTCAAGTACAAGTTCAAGTGCTCAACAAACAATACACAATGCAACAATACAATTTAAATATTTTAGAATAATACAGGGTTTTTACTGTTATCGTTTTAATTTTATATTAACGAATTTGACAAATCATTTTAAACGAATATTTATAACAATATTCTTTGAAATATATTTAAGTCAATATTTGTTAAACCTAAGAAAGTTGAATTTACGAGTACATTTAATTTTATTATCTTATTTGCAATAAAGAACTAAAGGTAACCACGTTTGTGGAACTTCCAAGGATATTTTTTTTTTATATTTAGCCACCGATGTTGAGGAACTACATTGTAATGAAAGAGATAAATGAAATGCAATTTTCAAAGCAAATTATTAAAAGTAATGCAAGTTAAAGCATCAAGGTTTTTACGTAATCTGTAAAACTCGTAAGACGTTATATAGAGTCTTCCGCCTACGATTTTTGACGTAATTGCAAAGGTTTTTCAAACTGTTGCCGTAATGTTTAAAATTATTTACTCGGATTTTGTTTGTATAATGAATGCAGCTTCAATAATATGTAATAGATAGATACATATACATGTATATTAAAAAAAACATGTCAATAATTGTTACCAAAAGAATGTGTCGGATTAATAAATGTTTAAACTTTAATCTTTCTTTTATTATATCTTTATCTATTGTCAGCTTTTTTGATTTAAGTTGGTCAGCTTGTGGCCGTGCGAAATTCACAACAAATAACTTGTCAGTCTGTGTGCACTGAAACAGTGTTCTACAGCTAAACCAAATTTCATCCAACCATTATATGCAAATATAATCTTTTGTTTACATAAGTTTTATTAAGTGTGTTTGTCTGCGTTCCATTACACGGAATAAACGCTAAACTTTATGTAGCTTCCGTTAACCAGAACTCAGAAAATGGTATTTAATATGTAAAATGTTTTGCACTAAAGGACACATTTACAAACTGCCTTGAATTACCTTTCATATCCTGAAGCGTCAGCAAATGAAAATCTTAATACTCTTATTACGTGTATTTTAATATCACTCCACATATAAACAAGATGACTTAAAAATAAAACACCTGATTATCTAGTCTGTTCTGCTAATAACTAGATTAAGAATTCGATTCAAATAAACACTTAGGAACTACTCTAAAACCGGTCAAGCCAATTAAATGAAGCTATATCTCAAATACCCTTTCATCATCTCCCCTGCCTTATCCTACTCCCGTAGGGTCGGCGCACCGGGTTTTCGTCCTCCAAATAACTCTATCGTCATTATCTATCCGTCATCTCAGTCATCACTCCCTTCTTGATCATATCACCTTTCTCGCAATCCATCCATCTCTTTCTAGGTCCTTCTCTACCGATGTACCCGTCCACTTTCATAACCAACACCCATCTTTTACAGGCGATTCATCCCTTCTCATAACATTCCCATACCACTCTAACCTTTTACTTCTTATTTTCTCAACCACTGGGGCTACTCTCAAACTTCCTCTAATATAATACCTCAAATACCTATTATTTTCTTAAAACATTGTTTAGCAACAAGTATTTTAATTAAGAGAATCTTACGAGTACCAAAGAAACATAAACCTCTTCAAGTAACAAGGCGTTTGGACCCTGACCCCAATTGCTAGGCATGTTTCACTGACCATCAAGTGTTAACAATAACCAATCGCTGGCCCTTGTACTTATGTTGCGACGTACGGTCAAATATTGCAGAAGAGTTTATTTTTCTTTTATATTAGACATTCTTATGTAGTACCAACTTTTGCCTACGACTTTGCTGCGCAGGAATACAAAAAACAAAGTAGCATGTACGTGCTTCCCGATTATGTTCTAAATCTGTGCTTTTCGTAGAATTCCGTTAAGCGGTTTTGGACAAACTAAGTCACAAATATCCATCTATACAAACTTTCGCATTTATATAAGAAAATAATGAATAAATTGTTTACCAAAAGTCATCAAAAGTCATCCGTACCATACAAAGCATCACAATTAAGCGTTTAGTAAACTTTGATAACAAAGGAAAAAATGAAGAAATATTTATATAATGACAAAGCTTCCATTGCGCAAAACATAAGATTTTCAACCGCGTGTCAGTATTCTGTTTAGTTTAGTATAGCCTTCTACAAAACGATTAGCCAACATTTATGGAAAGCCAAGTAATGCCAATATTTTCATAATGATGAATTCAAAACCCAGCTGACCCTTGATTTTTGAACATTTTTCCTTAAATTGTAATATAGTTTGCATTGATAGTATCTCGTTTTATCATGAAAACATAAAAACGAAACGGATATATCGCAAAAAAATGAATAATTGAGCTCCTCACAAATCATCGCTTTTTAATTATATTTTTAAAATTAAAGCAAAACCTTCACTGGTCGGTTCTTTTCAGATATGAAGTATATTTTAAATGCATAAATACATCTTAACAAAATTAATTTACATTGAAACAAGCAGGCAGTCACTGTTCAAATACTAGTTGATGGCCGCCGCTTCTCACACATCGGTTTGATATTATTTTTATTTAATATTACATGCTGTGCAAATCGTTATGATCTATCGAATACTAATGCAGCAAATCTTAACAAACAAACACTCCTACATTCGCAAGTATAATATTTAGTTAAGTTTATGTTGAAATCTTTGTATAAATATAATAAAAATGCAAGTCATTGCAAATATAGTGTTTGCTACCAAACGGTTAGGCAATGCATGCGAAATACGAGGTCGATCCCGATAACTGGCTAAACTTGGCTAAATGAAGTCCTAAAGTCCCCACTATACGTGGTCGATGTACTTGACATTGTGTTAACACGAGCATTTGGCAATACAAATATAATAATTGTGAATAAACGTGAAGCCGGATTGGAAAGTGAAATACCCCAAAACGAGCTCTCAACCTTGCTCTTTGAAGGCATTCAGGTGTAAATACGCACTATGTTTAACATTTACATTAATTTAACGTAGTCCAAAGAAAATGTTGCTCATTTGACGTTAACGTCGCAAACAAAAAGACTTTCAGATTTTACCCATTGTAGTAGTTTTCCTTTTGATTATATTTCAGCGTGGATAAATACTAAAACATAGTCGTAAATAAAAAAATTATAAAATAAACAACAGAACAACACGATTATTTGCAATATGTGTAGGGAACCCCGAAATAATTATAATAATCGGAAATATTTTGGACATGACATTTCTTATCATGATAAGGTCATTGACAAACGGAACCAAGGAAACTGACACACGCACAGAAATGTGCAAATCATCGTTACTTTTGATGTTAAGATTTGGCAATGATAGCGCACGCGCAACTTCCAGCAACAGTTGTAATACGTGGGCAGGTCTTTCGGAGGTCAATAAATGCTGTTAACGTGACCAAACGATCAAAAGGTTAAAGGCCCCTTACATCATCTAACTTCCTAATAATCAATTCCAGTCTATTCACTTCTATCTGAGAACATCATATTGAATAATTAATGTTTGCTACAAAAATTTAAATATTTTGAATATCAAAGGTGATACTTTTTTTAAGTGTACGGCTGCCACCGTCTCGTCACTCGTCTCCGACGAGTCAGCGGCCACCGGAAAGCGCCAAAATAGCGAAGTCACAATTGACCATAAACATCATTTGCAGATGTGTTTGTCTACCTTTAACCGTTTGTAGAAGGGAACGCAGAAACAGGTTTCCATTAAGTATGTGTCCCCTTTCCATGCGTTTCTTGTATGATAAGGGTGGAAACGGGAAGAGGATTAAAATTGCTTCTGGCGAATTTCTTCCACTTTACGCCTGTCTTATGTGGTCGATCATTCGAGCAAAAGACGTTATTGCGACCTCTACCATTTTTAAACTAAAAAAATTGCAATGGAAAAGATCGTAGCATAGTTATAGATAGTATACAGTGTACCTCTTATAATACTCAACATATAAAAATATTCAAGTCTAAGAAATCAAAATTGTAAATTTAAAATCGGAAATCATTGACGCCTTGAAAATTACGCATTAAAAAACGAGATTTACATATAGCAGGCGGGACGTTACCTGGTCGTTAGAGTTCGATATATTTGCATTGATTTAGCCATGAGGGTCCTGTTCTACCAGTATTCGCGGCGAGCCACTTGTTACGTAACGAAAGCCGGTTCTGGTGACATGTCACCAAAAAGAAACTCCGAAATAAGTCACATCTCAAAAGCATTTTTATCTAAGAATCATTACTTAATATGAACAGATGTCTTCTGGATTATGACGATCAAAGATGTTACTATCGTATTCACAACTTTGAGGCAATAGATTAACTTCATCAGGAAATATTGCAAGTTTTTTCTGTTGTATTGTTATTGTTTCTAATTAATTTGATGTAAAATTCCACCTTTAAACTTTACGATTCACGTTATTCGGCAAATCCATTTTCATTAATAGTTTGTACATAAACTAGCTGTTCCCGTGCGGCTTCATCCGCCTGGAATTATAAAAACTTTATTTTATTGTTTACATTTTTCAAATTCTCAGTTGCAAATTTACGCCATAATAACCTTGTTTTCTTAATGTTGGCAGATTGTAGTTCATGATCACTTTTCCACATAAGGGTTTTTTCCAATTTATTTACCCCTAAGTTTAATAGCGTGAAAATATATAGCCTAAAGCGTATCGAAGGTGTAGAGCTATTTATTAAAGAAAGAATAATTCAAAAATATACTGTGATTCCTGACATCCTACGTCACAAAGTAGTGTGTGTTTACGCTTTATTATATTAGTATATGTAAGAATGTATTACCTAAATTGCAATCTTCAAAAGGTAAAAATAATAATTGTTTTGTTCGTTTTTTCAATACATAAAAAAAAACTAGTTAATAAAGTTTTTTTCCCCTCTTTGTGTTATACCTTAAATCTCAAACTTTTGTTTTATTGTCCACTCTCAATACACTCGTTTCGGTGAATCCCCTGCCGTTTCCTTTCTTTTTTATTATCAATAGCTTCATTTTTTAAATCATTGTATAAGTGTGTAACAGACATAGTAAACTACATAGTTTCGCTATTTAATGTCAAAGATTAGTAAGTCTTTTTAGTTGATTTATGTTCATACCATAATAATAATAATATCCAATGT